CTGATCCCTGGGGCCCTCCACACACACACACACACACACACACACACACACAAATCTAGGAATCAGGTTTGTTCTGACTCAAGGAGAAATGAGAAACTGGATTTGTTTGGAAAATGAATTTTGGTCATAGAATCAGAATATTGGAAAAATGAGAGATAATTGAAGGACATATTTTAACTTTTTATTGTAAAATAAAAATGGAAAAGAAAACCACACAAGTCAACTGTATTGCTTAATTTATTACTATAAAATAAAAGCACTCAGCCAGGCAACACACCTCAGTATAAGAGGCTGAGGCAGGAGGGTTACTGATTACTGTTAAGTTTGAGGCCAGCCTGGGCTGCATATCTAGGCCCTGTCTCAAAAAAACAAAATAAACACAATAAAATCACTTTGTATCAATTAGATTGTCAAAAAAATTAAATAAGTCAGATAATACCTATAAAAACTATCAAGGATATAGGGGAAAGGGAACCATTGTTGATGGGAGTATAAACTTCCATTCTGGAAGCCATCTGACTCTATTTCCTGAATTTTAGTATGAATATTATGAATGACCCAGCAATCTCACGTCCCTAATGAAGCATGGCAAGCACATTCATCAGAGGAGCGTGAGTGGAGGCAGCCCAGATAATCCTCAGAGAAGTGGGGTAAATGTGCAAATGCCATCTTTGCAGGATCACGCGGTAGTCAGCCATAGTCCCCTACACGTACTTCGAGCCACACAACATAAAAAATGTGTCATCCAAGGAAGGAACGCAGCAAGGTCTGAGACGCGACATAATTTCTGTAGGCTGGAGCCACGTCCACTCACAAAAGTAGGTATACTATGGATGTTTCAGGAAGGCCTATATTACTAAGAACAAACATGGAGCACTTGACAGTGAGTATAAATGAGTGGAGAGACTAATGAGCAGGAAAAGAACAGGGGATGCCTATTTACTAACGATCAATAATACTGCACCACAAATAGAAGGAATCTGTCCAACTTTGTGGGAAAGAGGAAAGTCTGCTGGGCATGGTGGTGCATGCTTGTTATTCCAGCACTCGGGAGGCCAAGGCAAGAGGACTGACAAAAGTTTGGGGCCAGCCGGGGATTTAGCTCAGTGGCAACACACCTGCCTCACAAGCGCAAAGACCTAAGTTTGATCCCCAGTACCAAAAAAAAAAAAAAAAAAAGTTTGAGGCCAGTGTGGGCTACATAGTGAGTTCAAGGCCAGCCAGAACTACAAAGCAAGCTCTCGTCTGAAGAAAACAAAATAACAAACAAAGATTTCACATTTAGGGCTCCCCAAAGGTACTTACTATATGAAGTTCCTAAGTGTTGGGGACTAGGCTACATAACTCAGATCTCACAGTCTCGAGGCTGGTGTTATCTTGCCTTAGGAACAAGGAAGTATGTGGAAGGCTGCATATCCCCTGGCTATGGGCAGAATGCCGATAACCTGGCACTTGAAGCAGGACAGAATATGCTGAGGACAGTTGTCAATATATAGGCATTTGGGTGTAGAGAAAATCTGACTCCTTATTAATTTAATCCTTATGCCCCATTCTCTACGAGTTGCTGTTCCATGAAATGGGTGCTACCCCTCCACCTGTGCTTCTCACTGGCTCATAAAAGTAGGCCAACTGTGGAGTTTATCAAGTCTGTCCACTAGAGGCAGGTCTCCCAGTCCCCCTTTATGTCTTGAAAATTGTCTCTGTCTCTGTCTTTTTATTCCTTGTCATTTCCCCCAAAAGGTAGCTGAGCAGCTGATCAGTCCTCACAACATAAGGAAAGGAAACGTTTCCCCTGTAAACAGGGAGACTGAAAAACAGAAGGAGAAAGTAGTCTGAGCCTGTAAGAGCAGGATATATGATTACAGAAAGAAAATAAACAACTGAAGGGTTGAAATGTGTAAACACCTATTTGTCTAAGGCAATTCGGTACCTTGGAACAGAAAAAGGACAGAAGCAGAAAGCTTGGTAGAATCTGATTAATCTTTGTTGCTTGGTTAATAATAATGAGCTAGTGTCAGTTTCTTTGTTTTGACAAATGTACCACAGTATATCAGGTGTTAGCAGTAAGGTGAGCTGGGTAAAGTTTTGCAGAGACTCTCTATACTATCCTTGCAACTATTCTATAAATGTAAAATTATTCTTAAAGGAAAACATAAAGCTTCTTGCCCAAAGGCATACCAGATAAATGAAAATCAGCCCATATATCAATCAGGTACATATTATAGGTGAGATATATATGTAAGGGTTTATATAATGAGAATTTTAAAGTTTTGGATAATTACACTAAAATGCTATCATCTCCAGGTCATATTATCACTGCCATATGGTGCTATAAGTGGTTGATTCTTTTCTTTATATTGTTTGAATATTTTACGATGAAAGTGTATAAATTTTATGAGGAAAAAAAACAAAAAGACTTTGGACCTGCCTGAAAGAACAGAGTATCATGGCCAGAGTGGTGGTGCATGCCAGTAATCCCAGCACTCGGGAGGCTGAGGCAGGAGGATCCCTGTGAGTTCGAGGCCAGCCTGGGCTACATAGTGAGTTCCAGGTCACTCTCTCTGAGACCCTGTCTCAAAAAACAAACAAACAAAAAAGCAAAAAAAACCCAAAACAAAACAAAACAAAAAAGAACAGAGTATCAGGTTTGGAATACACCAACCTAGACAGCTGGACAGATTCTGGCTCCACTGGGTCCTGGGCTCATCCTTTTCTGGAGCAGGGCCAGGTTTGAGAAAATTTTCTGGAGATGGGCAACTTTCTTCTCTCTCCACAAGATCTGTAAGTTAATAAAAATGTATCAGCTTACAGGAGTTCAGGGAAAGTATGTACAGTACTGATCAGAAAACTCCAAGATATCACATTTCTGCTTATTACTGTACATTAATTCAGACATACATTATATATTGTATGCATGGACTGACAGTGTTCTTTCTCCTGTCCTTTTTTCTTTTATTTCCTTTTGGGGTGCTGGAGATTGAACCCAGAGCCTTGCACGTGGTGGGCAAGCACTCTACCATTAAGCTATTTAAGTCGTGGTCTAGCTAAGTTGCTCAGACTGGCCTCAAATGTATATCCTCTGCTCTCAGTCTCTGGTATAGCTGGACTAAGGCATGTACCTACCACTCAGCTAGACTTTAATTTTTAGAGCAGGTTTAGGATCACAGCAAAACTGAGTGGAAGTACAGAGTCTCATTTACTTCCTGTCCCTCAGGCTCCCTGAGTGCTAGGATTATGTGTGTGTGCCACCCTGTCTGGCTTGTGTCTAACATTTAGAAGGCTTTAGGAACTCAGCTATGCAGAAAGCAGGCATGTTTGGTGGAGGATATCATCACTAAACAAAATATCTGTATATTATTATGATTGCGGTAACTCCTCCGAAGGAAAAGAACAGATGGTCATGACGTGTAGACAGAGGAAATGAATTTATAGTGGGAATTCAGGGACAGTCTCTATTAAACTGAGAATAGGAATAGACAAGGTAACTAGGAGCCTGGGGATGAGTGAAGGAGAAAGAGCCTTCCGGGCAAAGGAAAAGGCCCCCGTGTGGCACAGAGTGGGCTAAGATGGAGGAACACGGGGCTGATGTGCGGGCACAGAACCTGGGAAGCCAGGGCGAAGAGAAGGCTGGGCAGGCCTTGCAGGGCCGTCTGAGCTGCACAGAGGGATGGATGCCTTTCCTATACTTCTGGGACCGGCAAGATGTGTTTTCTCCTGCCATTCTATTAGTGGGTGCACATTATCTGACTTTCAAGAAAAGCCTTTTCAGAAATAACATCACAGCTCCTGTTGAGACTGGCAGATTGAAAATGCACATAAAATTTACTTCATGATATTAGCCAAATTCCCCAAATCCCTGAGCACCCCAGCATATTTCTTCTATTTTAGGACTTAAAATATGAGAGAAATTTCCTGTTTCTGCAAAACCAATTTGTTCATGTAAAGCAAACTATGCTGGCTCCATTCAGCTCACGTTCCTGGATGCTCCTCCCTCTGCGTCCAGGACCCTCCAGGTTCCAGCCCACGAAACGCAGTCCTAGTGGGGGATAGTGCTGGGCAGCTGGCCCTTCACATTCTCACCTCCCAACTCCAAACTCGATGGCACAGGCACTGTCAAACGCAGGCCTCCCAGTCTGTGTCTTCTCTGGGATCCTGACTCTCACATTGTCATTTAATTTGCTCAATAAATATTTATGGAATGAATATATGATAGTATTATGGGCTTAGACAACATCTAAATTATATCATTCAACAGAAGACTATGCAACCATTAAAAGCATGAAGTAGTCATAGAGTTACTGATACAGAAAGAGGTCCATGAGTTAATTGAAAAAAGCAAATTACAGAACAGAAATCATATTATTTCTTTCTTTTGGCGGGCGGGTTTGAAACAGGGTCTTCATATGTGGCCCAGGCTGGCCTTGAACCTCCTGCCTCAGCCTCCAAAGTGCTGGGACTACAGGCATGTGCCACCTGCCCAGCCTGTATTATTTTTATTTTAAAAATTTTTTCTTTTTTATTTAATTTATTTCTTTTTAATAAGTATATACACATATATGGAGTTGTTTGTTTTTTTTTTTTTTTTAGTTGGGATTGAACTCAGGACCTTGTACTTGCTAGGCAGGCGG